ATTAAAGAAACGCGTCATGAGCTTTATTACAAACATGGAAAGTAATGTCCGTTGATGTTAATTACAATTTTTACAATTTTTATTTTTATGTATAAAAAAGAAAGCGATAGCAATGAAATATAAAAATAAGTCTTTTTTATAATTATATTATTAAATTGTATTATACATACATCTAGAAAAATATTTAAATTTTATTATGCATATGGTAACGATATGTTTTTATTGTTAGTGTGTGAAGTGTCCACATCATATGTTAATTTTATTTGCTCATTGTGTCGTAATTAAAACACATTTGCGCATTGTGTATCTGCATACGTATGTATAATATAAAATGATTCTATATAATATATGTTTATGAAGATAATACTCTAATAAGCAAAGATCTCTCTCTCTCTCTCTCTCTCTCTCTCTCCCTCTCTCTCTCTTACATAGATTACATAAATATCATTCGTGACTTGTGGTCATAATATTTTGATCGAAAATGATATCGAAAGTTATTCTAGTATTCGTATGGATACTTTTATTTATTTAGATATATATCCTATATAAGCGAAAAAATATAGTACTTACGAACCTGACAATGCCACATTGGACTCTTACAGATAGTCACCAATGAAAGATTCTGAGCGCGCGTCAACCACGTTATACAGACTTCTGTCAGAGATACCCAGGAAGCAGTCGTGAAGTAATGATCCCTGACAGAAAAGATAATTTAGATATAGTAGAACATATACAGGGTGTCTGATAATAATTGCCCCACCCGTAATATGCAGGTAGAGCGAGTTAAACCGAGTAGAAAAGTTCTCTACCGTTTTGCAATTTTCGCAATAATTATTGAGAAATTAATTAAAAAAGATCGGCCAATGCGTGTGAGTATAAGCGCATCGCGATTGAGTCGCGCCACGAATAATATTTTCCATTTTTTATACGAGAATCCAGTGTTCCGCGACGCTCGTATGTAAACATTGCTATCCGCTCATCTCGCTCTTTCTTCGCTTCGTGGCGCGACTCAACTACAATGCCGCGAGTTCCGACTGACAACGTGTCGGGTTCGGACGTGTTTTTCCGTGCTGCGTATGTCCTTTGTCTGGACCTTTCTTTTGGACTCCTCCTCTCTTAAGAGGAATTTTGCTTATTTTTCACAAACCCATAAGAAACAATGGTATATGGGCGACTAATGCCCAACCAGCCATAAAAGAAAGAAGAAGAAGAACTACAATGCCGCGTGGGCCGTCCTTTCTCGTAGCGCGCTAATACTCGCGCATTGGCCGATCTTTTTTAATTAATTTCTCAATAATTATTCCGAAAATCGCAAAACGGTAGAGGACTTTTCTACTCAGTTTAACCCGCACATTACGGATAGGGCAATTATTATCAGACACCCTGTATACAATTCCATTTATAATGGGATTGTATATATATCTTACTGTATTTTGTTTTTATCTATACTATAAATAAATAAGATCGTAGTTAAATGTTTGTCATTTAACAAATATTTCCTTCAGGTTATTCGTATTTAAGGATGTTCTGGATGGTTTGTCAAAATGCTACGAAGTTGATGAAAATTTAATGTCATATTTTGTATTCTCTTTCAAAGTTCGGGGTCAAATTTCAGATCGATTCATAATTTAGATAAAAAGTTATCAATTTTTGAATATCTAAGTTTCAACACGTAACTTTATGGTTTTTTTTACGTTTTTTACATTCTATTAGACTTGCCGTAACTATTTATATACATCTTTTTTTTCTTTGGATCTCTGGAGGATTAGTATCGGTGTTTTTAATATTTCCATAACTTTTGACTGGACCGGTACCTCCAGAATATCCTTAACTTAGCACTCGAAATTGAGAGAATTTAATTTGATCATATTTATATATATGTATAATTAATTAATGTTAACATTAATTTTCTGTATTTAGTATAAATTTTTAGTAACATCTTCTTAAACCGATGCATTTAATACATAATTTATAACTCTGCGCAACTATAAGATGCACTAAAAATAATTGACAAAACTGCATGTCTTATCTGTCTTGGAATAAAAATTATTTATTCCAATAATACAGCAATAGGCTTAGAGTACTAACAATACTAAGTGGGGAAACTGGCAAATAAGAGCCAAAACGTTGTTTTTCAGCGCAAACTTTTTGTTGTTAGATTTCAGTGACAAATATGCAGTAAAAATGCATGTTTCGGACCGTTTTTTAGTTCATCTTCAGCATTGATAACAAAATATTAAAAAAATCAATTTATTAAAAACTTCAACCTGCTAATACTGATTGCTACAATCTAAATCCCAAATTGAAATCGATAAATGACAAGTGATACGACTCACCAAAACCCGAGTAGAGTCCGTGCAAGCCGATTGATAACGTCACCGTCACATGCGTATCCGTCGGTGGTTCACTCCGCACTAACATAACGATGAAATGGCGCAATGATATAATCCCAATACTCGCCATTCACAATCACTCCAAAGGAATAGTTGCGACTGGTCAGGTCCAAAATCACGGGATGCAATCAATTTTTTCTTCTTTTTTTTTTAAATTTTGGGCAAGTTCTTCAATAGCTCCAAATTAGTTCAAAAACTATCAGGCATATACGTAGATGACTAATTTAAACTGCTATCGTTGTGAATGTCATCTCTCTTTTTACGAACATTCCATTAGATTTAGATTTAGATAATGTTTTGGAGAGATGGTGTTTAAGATGTATAAAAGAGATGTATAAAAGAAAAATGTAATCATATAATACGTAATTCATCTCGAGATGAATTACATATGATATGATTACATTTTTATCACTTTATAGGACTTATTGTTAGAAAACAAAGTCATTAGATATGTTACGTCCTGGCGACTCCACGATTCCTCCCTTTCGCGAAATTGCGGCAATGATAAGCGATCGGTGATAGAAATGAGTCGTTCGGTAAATAGAGCATCTTGCGTTACACATTCCTTAAACATTTAGTCACTTATCAATATCTATATCTACGAGTAACCGTGAGAAAGACGCGAGAGACCGGTAACGAAACCGCGCCGGTCGCCTAAAAATAAATAAAAACCAGTAGATACCCTCGCAGTAGAATTTTCCGAAATAAAAAACTGATATCGAAAAGATAATAAAATTTTCACGAAATATCTGACGAATACAACTAAATCAATAATGACGAACTTCTGTGACGTCACATTCAACAACGACAGAAAGTAAGACTTCTTCTAATCAGATCACGTGAGTAAGGGAAATCTAGAGCTCAAGGGATTCTGAACTGATCACCAATCGACGATCACCACGAATCCTTTAATCAAATATATTTTTATATTGTATTAACCAGTCAGAACCTAAATGTCAACGATAAAATCAGTCCATTGCATTTCTGACTGATGTCCTCCGTATTAATGTAACACCCGCGAACTAAAATACACACATACACACGTACACTCACCGAGAAATTATAATCAACAGTATTTTATTTTAATTTTTTATAATCATGTATATCTACCATTTACTTTAAAAATGAATAAATTTACATTTTGTTAATTTAAAATCAAAATAACTCTTTATTAACCCACTCATTCCCCCACTCATTCCTTTAGTCGAAAGATCGCACTTGGTCCCATCCTGCGTAAAAGAGATTAAATTCTCTTACCGAAAAGGGACCACCGAACGAACGTCTGAATAACCAGCGTAACAGCGACTCAGTCGTTTACCTGCTTTTCAGACCTGTCAGTTCGTTCGACCCGATTCCAAACGCCACGAGACGTTTAACTTCGGGATAATAAAAGATAGTTGTTGCGCCCTTTCGTCAACTCATCCTTCCTCGAGTCTGGACGTAACAGATATATTCCTTTCAATTTGCCTTTTTATTATAGGTATGTGGATGATATAGCTTTGGCAATCTTTTCTTCTATGTTTACAGAAGTCTTAACTATCCTCAACTCATTTCATTCAAGACTACAGTTTACTATGGAGGAAGGAATGGACAACAAACTCAATTTTCTGGACGTCACAATAATTGTAAATAATAATTTAATAGAATTCGACTGGTATCAGTATAAATCCTTCTCTGAGAGATACTTGAATTTTAAATCTAATCATCCACTATGCGATAAGAGAAGAATAATCATTGGCTTGGTGAACCAGGTTCTTTTTACATCCGTCATATCCGAAATTTCATCAGAAAAATTTGAAATTGATAATCGACATCTTCCTAGACAACATCTTCTTCCCTGGCTTACATTTTTAGTGCGATTCGCGAACGTTTAAAATTTTTATTTGCAAAAAATCAAACGAGAGCTGTGACCAGAGAGACCGATCAACCGGAGGAACCGCATTCATTCTTTACGATACCTCATATCCCAATCTTTTCGAACGATTTAAATAAATACTTTGCAATCTTGACATAAGATTATCATATACTGGTCTTGATAAACTTCGTGGTTTCAAGATACAAAAAGACTTAATCTCTAAGGCCGATATTACATTTGTCGTACGATAAACTTTTTAACCGCATTGATTAGCTAATTTCTAGAGACTCAAAAATGTTTCTATTTTGCAGCCAATCAATATGCTTAAAAAGTTTGTCGTATGACAAATGTAATATCGGCCTAAGGCCCGTTCTATAATAAGTCGTATGTCGTTAGTCATAAGCAAATTGACCAATCACAGTTGGATATTCTCGGAATAATCGACTGTGGTTGGTCAAATTGGTTACGACTAACGACATACGACTTATTGTAGAACGGGTCTAAGGATTCACGCAACAACTCTTTTTCCAAACATCAAAACCACACCCGTAGAAATACATCACAGATCTCGATCATAGCGAATCACAGATTCGAGATCAATCATAAATTTAATTGACAAGAGATGAAGTCGAAATTTTAGACAATAAAATTTTGCTCGATGAAAAGCTCATTTCCGAAATGTACATTAAGTGACAGAAAAATTGCCTGAACCTGCAAAGTGATATGTGACTTACACCACATATTTGCGCCTAATAGTGGAGAACTTGCCTAAAATAAAAAAAAGAAAAAAAAAAGAAATCGATTGCATCCATAGACGTAGGAAATATAGATTGCGCGTATCAAACAAATGTTATGCCAAAATTAAAAAAAGAACGCAATGTCTCAGATGTCTTTTCTCTCTTAAACATAAGACTATGGTTACTATAAGATTAATTAGATAAGAATAAATTTTCGCTAGTTAAAAAGAGATAAATATACTTCCGAGACATTGCGTTCTTTTTCTAATTTTGGCGCACAAATTGTTAATAGATAAAATATGCGCAGTCTATACTGTTATAGCCCGAAAAGGCTATACACGAATTAATAGATATATAGTATTTCAAAGATATTATTTTATACGATAAGATATTGCTCAACGTGTAACGCGAATACAGATCACGTTACGAACGTTGACCGAGCGAAGCGCTGACAACGCGAGCCACGCGCGAAGCCCGAGCGACCGCGCAATCACTCATTACGAAAACGCGGAAATCAAGGCAAGCAGAATTAATGCGTTGCGAAAATGCAACGTAAAGATCCTACCTAAAAGCGAAAACGAAATTGCGAAAATGCAAGCAAAGAAGCCCCTTAGAACTCCTTAGCTTGCATCCGGATCTTGCCGCAAAAATCGAGCGACACGACACATGGTCTTGTCGCTAACCGATCCCCTCCTGGGAAACCAAGGGGA